GAGCGGAAGCATTAAATAAACTAGGTATTCATGCAAGTCTCATTTGGTCCCAATCTTTATAAGTCTATGAAAGTGTGCACCAAAGACTCTCCAAATCCTATTTGAAAGAAAGATAAGATGTTCATACCCTTGGAGCGAATCTTGAAACCAAGAATGGTGTACAAGTAGAGGAAGTGGTCCCTTTGCTGTTGACTCTCCCTTTGATGTTGATTCTCCACCTTGTAGCTCTCCAAATAGGTACAAAGATATGCACCTCCCCAAAGCTCTTCACCAAGGATTGAATGGGATGAGAGAATGAGTAGACGACAAGTGAAGAGTGGTGCTAGCGCCCTCACTTGAAGTGATAGATTGAAGGGGTTAGGGAGAGAGAGCTTGATGTTTTCTCTCTTCCAATTTCACCAACTTGAAAACCCTAGTATGATAGAATTCTATAGCTACACACTTATAGGATAAAAAATGTCACAAGAGTGACAAAAATACCCCCAAACCCTAGTGTAGCCACACCCGTTTTTTGTGTGTCATCTTTTGCTATCTTGTTCCAACACATTAATCCTATAATGTGTCACATATGTGCCTAAGTCCATATGGTCAAATCCCTTTTGAATTTCCAAGTCATATGGGACCTTTAATTAAAGTTTCATAACTTTAATTGAAGTGACTTGACTAATTCAATCACTCACTTGTCTAACGAGTGTTGGTCCCGGTCATCCTTATTTGATTGTGTCAAGTGTCGGGTCAACCATTTGACCTTTGACCTTTGACTTTCACATTGACTTTGACCAAGTCACAAAATCATTCATTCTCTTCATAATTTTCCAATTGATTCATTTTCGGTGTGCGATCTTATAGGTTCTAATTAGTGAGGCAGTGGGTATGAATGATTCACTCTAATCAAGTGTGCATTGTATCCCTCCATACAATTCTCCCAATTGGCTTATAATTAGTCCTGACAGGGCTTTCACAAGCCATGAGTGACACCTAGCAGTATGTCATGGCTACCCAAGCTAAAAAGAATTCATTTAGAGAACCTAGTCAGTTTGTGATTACAATGCAATTCGATCATTCTCTAATTCAATACTCTATGTCATATTCTCGGGATATGGTAAACTTGTGTCAAAATCCCTAAGATGACATCTCTAGATTATATGATTCAATTTGATGAAATTGCAAACGTTCTTGTTTCAATTTCCATCCAATACTTTGGCCAAAGATTCATGAATCATATCTTTAGAGTATTCTCTCTTCTTACTAAGAGCAAAGATTACTTGTTGTACATTCACCTGTCTCTACGTACACGCTGATAACCTGAGAAACACCTTTAAGCCACATCATTTTGATACGACCGTATAGTGCTCTCAAAGAGAAACAACATATACACAAGACAATTGTGATGTCTCAGGTCTAAGGATTAATTTGCATTATCACAGCTTAGAATTCTTTGTTTGAGACTTGTGAGTAAGACTTCCATACAAGAATTTTAGAGTTGATCTCGTTCAGTGGACTCCATCTTCTATAGAGTACTTACACATATGTCTCAGTGTCTCTACACAAAATGACTTGAGACTAGTCATCCTCCCAATTGAGCATACATAATGTGTACCAGTCTTTGCGGGTCACCATTGTCCAATTGGTGATCCTATGACCAGGAACATTTTAAGATACGATATTTATATATATGGAAAGGTCTCGTGCATCTAACTTCTTTAGACCACTTTCCATTTATATCTTAATCCATGGACTTGTTACTTTGTGTACGTTATGTATCTCTTGCCCCTTTGATTATTATATATTATTTCCTTAGAATTATCCATTTTATATTGGCTTCTAGGGCATACATCTAACAAAGGGTTTACTACTGAAATACCCCATGAACTTGTAGCTTGCTTTCAATTAGCCCCCTATCCTTTTTTTTAGAAAATTAAGGATACGAACTTTTTTTTTCGCCAATTTCCCCCCTACCGTCTAAACCGAATACATTTCATCCAATTTACCGTTAAATATGAGGGTAAATCGGTCATTTCAATGTGAAAATAAAATAAAATAATTTAAAATGTGAAATAATAATAATATAAATAAAGTTATAAAAAAAAATTAAAATTAAAAAAATTAAAAAAAAACCTCCCCAGCCATCTCTCTCTGTGTGTCTTTCTACCTCTCTCTGCAATCCCTTCTATCAACCATAGCCACAAACACAGACACCGCAAAACCCTAAACCAAAATACCGAAAACCACAGCCACAAACATAGCCCCTGCTCCTACTTCAGGTTCGAGTCCGCTTCCTGCAGCCACGGGAGTGGGTGCCAATACGCCCACGGCGAAGCGCAGCTCTGGCCCCAACCCGACAACACGTGGGACTCGACCTCTGAGCGCGCGAATAAGCAACAGTTGGAGGAGGAGGACGACGCGAATGGGTTTGGGTCTGTGGGTGGGGATAAGGTTTTTAGTTTTGTTTTTTGGATGTGGGGGTGGGTTGCGTTCAGGGAAGAGGTTGGGTCACTGGCTGCTGTGATGGCATTGGAATGGTTGGCAGCCACACCCAGCCCTACCATCATCTTCCCTAATCCCTCTCACAAATACAACACCCTTTCATTCTCAAAAGCATGAATTGAGAATCTAGGGTTTGCAGGCACCAAGTCCAACGAGGTCTGTTCTTTGGTTCTTTTCTTGCTATATCACTCCAAATTTTGTCAATTTCTAGGTTATAATGTCTTGATTTCTATCTAGGTTGTCCTCTTTATCAATCAATTTTCTTCCCCTTCTTCCCCCAAACTTCCATGGGTGTCTTGATAAGTTTTGGGATGGGAGAGAGAATTTTCAAACTCCTAATCTTTGAACAAAACGGGCCTAAAAAATTAGGATTAAGCACATGTAGGTAAATATGACAGAAAAAGAATGGGAAGATACACCCGAAAATGAAAAAGAGTGAGTAAGCGTGGTACATACCCAATGTGAATTGTCAATTAGTGTTCGATAATATGTGTACATTTTAATTTGACCGCATGTATTACTAGCTATCATTTGCTTTAGTAATGTGAGGCTGAGTTTCTTATTTCATCACTAAGGCAATCTGCCCTATCCCAGTGATTTTGTTAATATACAGCTGCATTGCAGAAGCTCAATCTGGTCAATGGCGTGCTTTTCTGGGGCTGGGGCTGGGGCTGGGCATGGTTTTCTGTGGGTCAGGCATGGTTTTCTGGGGCTGGGGCTGGACTTGGTTTTGGTGGAAATCAGAATGAGAATTTTCATTTGGGAGAGAGAGTTGCTATCGACACTGGGTGGGTTGGGACTTTGGGTACCTACTTTGGTTTTTCTTCCATTTTTATTTTTAATTTTCATACTTTTTAAGAGTTTGTATTTCCAGATCTGGTGAGCTTGGGGTTTGATAGAGGATGGAGTGAGAGAGAGAGAAGAGCTGGGACATATATTTTTTTCTTCTCTTTTTTTTAATTTTTTCCAAAAAGAAATTATTTTTAATGATTTAACAGAAAATTGGATGAAATGTTGATGATTTAAACGGCAGGGGGGAAATTGGCGAAAAAAAGAAGTTCATATCCTTAATTTTCTAAAAAAAAAGGATAGGGGGCTAATTGAAAATTAGGTACAAATTTAGGGGCCAAATCACTAGTATACCCATCTAACAAACGATCCATTTGTTCTCACATGCCAAGTACAACAAGTATTTTATTTAAAGGATACAAAGCTTGGTAATAGTTGGCGAGTTGTAGAGAGGTCACAACCTCGAGAGGAATTTATGATTTTGTAGAAGAGAAAGAAGTGAATTATGTTGTAGAAGAGGGCGAGGATCCATATCAACAAGAGTCGCATGAGTTTGTTAGTTTTGTGGAAGGTAATGATGATGAGGTGTTGTACGTAGAGATGACATGGACATGATTCCTGTGGAACATGTTGAAAGCGATGCAGAAGATGGTGCACATAGCAATGAGGACATTGAGGAAGATTTAAGCTATGCTAGTGATAGTGAAAATGATGCTCAATATTTAGCTGCTAGTTGCTCAATATGTGCTTTCTTCTGCTATTTGTTAAAATGGTTTAACAGTATGTCTGTTTATGTTTATGTTTAAGTTTCTATTTCAATTGCGAAAGAGAATATGATTTGTGCCTTTATGCCAAAGTAGAATTTTCTACTACCTGGTTTTAGTTATTAATAGGGAATTGTTGTACTACATTTGTTTTCCATTTCCTTCTGTGAATCAGATTTATGAATTTTTGTAACAGGAAGAATGGTGGATGTTATTACTTAGTTGGTTCTAGGAAGGAGGGGGGATAAGGTTACTTAGTTGTAACAACAAAAATGGGGTTACTTTACTTGAAGGATTCACAAGTTAGCTAAGGGGCAATTTTAACATGGAAGAAGTAGAAAATTCTGCTACCTATTCTCAGTTTTTCATTTTCAGTTTCTAAGGTATTTTTTATACAAGTTTTAAATTGCTATGGCTGGTAGAGGACGAGCTACGAAGGTATTGCATCAATTGCGAAAGTCTCCCTGACTTGAAAACATCAATCCTAACCAAAATACAATGTCGATCAATGTCTCCATCTTCTAGTCAGTATGGATCATCTTCCTCCCACCGTGATAAATTAGTGATTCCTTGAGATATTGAACTATCAGAGTCTTCTCAAGTAGCTCACTCTCCTACTTTGGAAGAGGACATCAACACTACAAGTTTGCAATTGCTACGTCATAGATTCTCTATTTTTTAATTAACTGCAGTAAAAGGTTGTTTGTGATTGTATGTAGAGTTTGATGTAGGTTCAAGAAGCAGCAAGAAAAGGCGTGGACATACACTAAGTATTAAGCTATCAAAGAAGAGATGTTCTGGTGATTTAGTTGAAATTGACATTCCTGAGCACATTAAGAGAGTTGTAGGAAACAATTGTCGAAGCTACATCACGAATTTAGGGTGCATAGTTCGAAGGAATGCTCCGTTACAAGTTGATAGTTGGAAAAAAATTGAAAGGAAAGATGTTACATTGATGTTGCGTTGGGTCCGTGTAAGTACATTCAAACCATTTTCAGAATTCAAATCATTCTTTACTTGCAAATTTTTGCAACTATTTGAAGCTTGAAGCAACAGAATTCAAATAATTTCTTAAGAGTGGTGATTTCCCCACTCCAATTTTATCAATTTACACTCCATTTTATAACTAAAAAAGGAGTGTATGTGGATAAAATTGGAGTGGGGAAATCATTACCCTTTCTTTTTAGCATTCCTTTCTCTCTCTCTCTCTCTCTCTGTGTTGCAAACACTTGTTATATTTATTTTAGATATTTTAGATATTGTCTTTGCACAAAGTAAAGTGTTCATACTTTTCTTTCTTTGATATGGTAATGAGTAATATACTTTAAAATTTTAGGAGAAATTCAATTTGAGCAATGAAACTTATGTAAATATGGCTATTGAGGATCACATGAAGAGAAGATACTACTCTTGGCGTTACAGTTTGCATAAGAAATTTCTAGAGTACGGATCTGAGGAGGAGGCACTTGAGCATCGACCTCAAACAGTGGGAGAGGATGATTGGAACTATCTAGTTCAATTATGGCAAAAAGATGAGTGAAAGGTGAGACACTATCTAGTTCCTCTTCATTTCGATACTGTGTACAACATGAGTTCATTTTTTGCATTCTACTACTTTTTTGGAACTTAGAAAGAAATTGGATTCATTTTTTTGCAGAAAAGTAGTGCAAAAAATAAGGAAAATAGAAAGAAATTGAAGATCACACATTGTGCTAGTTCAAAGGCCTTTAGTCGTATTAGATATGAAAATGTAAGCTTCATTTGACCCTTACAATCTTCTTGCATTGAAACTTTTTAAAGTTATAATTTATGAAACTTGTAAATAACATGATGGTGGTCTATGACTACATGAAATAGAGAAATTCTAAAACTGGAGAAGAACCTAGCAGCATTGACTTGTTTCAACTCACTCGATTTAGCACAAAGAAAACAACATGGGTTGGCGAAGATGCCAAGAATGCTTTTGTAAGTCTTTATTGCTTTTGAGCTTCTTCTGTAACATCCCCACCTAATTTAATTGTTTTAATCAATTTATTTCTATTTGTGAAATTACAATTTTGCCCTTAGGGGTAGGGGATACTTTAGTCACTTTTTGTTTGAAATTAGTTTTGGCGGGGTGTACTGATTATTTAAGGCCCAAATAAATACAAACCAATGGAATATGCCAACCCAACATGAACATCACTGGGGTTATGAGATGGATCATGGATTCTTTTTTTCCAAAGCATTCTCGTTGGTTAGTCAATAAGTCCAATCAACCAAAGAAACGTGTGGTTTCTGAACCCATTGAGATGACCCAAGAATTTCGCTACATTCTGGATGCTTCCCACTTTGTTTTTATAAGGCTTCTGATTCAGTTTATTGTTTCTAGTTTCTATGTTTATGTAAACTTGCAGTAAAATATGCAATCAGTGACAAGACCCGACCCGAATTCCTCGGAATCCGGGACGAATCCCGTAAATTAACCGACATCATACTGATGTCGGGGCCACTTACTAAAGAAATGAGACTTTCTGCTGAAATTTCGGCTGAATCTCCCCTGAACAATGGACATTTCCCAAATTTTTCAACATGTTAAAAACACATTTAATAACACCAACTGGCAAGAAGCAGAAGATAAATTCATGTAGTTTACATGAATGGCCTCCGGCCTCACAATCAAACCCTAACGGGGCGACATCAGAGCAGTCTAATAGAATTTAGTTTACAAACGATAATAAAGTTTAACTAGAAAGAAACGAACATAGCTTATCCTACTGAAGCTCGGGATTCGGAAGTTCAAGGCTCAGTTCTGCTGCTCAGCTTGGTCAACTACTGTATGGGGGGCACAAAACAGAAAATTGTGAGTGGATAAAAATAATATTTAGTTCACATTTGAAACCAACATAATATAACCCCCACCGTTTAGAAAACAATATGCATTCCAAACCGCCATAGCTATATGTATATATATAGTTGAGTCAAAACCATAGTGAAATCCGATATCTCGTCATGATGCTTTATTACTCATCCCATACAAACCTTTCCCAAACTATTCTCTCGAAACGCATGCTAGTTGGCCCGACAAGTGAGGAAGTATCCTCATTGATAAACAAGAATGAATGAATATGTATATATATATATATATATATATATATATATATATATATATATATATATATATATATATATATATATATATATATATATATATATATATATATATATATATATATATATATATATACCACTACAAAGTTTGTACCGAGGAAACAATCCAACCGGGGGATTGTTTGACTAGTCCACATGGAAGAATCCTCAATTGACCATGTGGCTAGGGAACGAGCCGTCCAACTGGGACTAATCTCACCAGCACGTACAATAGAATTATCAATACTCGTACACTTGTGTTTAGTCCTACGAGGGCAGACTAACCCCGCTAAGGGTCTACGAAACACCTCGTCAAGGGTGCCTGGGTTCCGACATATCCAAATATCCATAGTTCCCAATTTCCAATTCATACTTTCCAAATCTGGGGAGGTACATAAGGTAGTGCTTATAGCACTTCAAACTAACATAATCTATAATCCACTCTCTTTCCATAATCCCATTACCAACACCCCACGTACCCCACACATAACCAAGCATAGACATAAATTCTTGAAAATAACATATATCAACTCAAGATACTTGCAATATGCCAAAATCCAAATATATTTCAAATATTTATAGAACTATCATGTTTCAACAATTAATTATATAATAAACTCAATAAACAGTTAAATCTTCATGCATAGCTTTCCGTCTTAAAAATAATGCTTATTAATTGAAAACAATGTCCACTCACAAGTAGTCCCACACTGCCTGACCCTGAGAGGGTCCCGCCTGATGCGTACGCATAGCTGTAGTACCTATTTAAAAATACGAAGGCATGATTAATGTAAAGTATTTCGAACGAGAGCTTTAATTAAAATCCTAGTTTCCCGGGATTAAAGTGTATATACGACGAACGAGGCGTCCGAAGGTCCAATTACGTGTTTCGAATGATGGGTTAGCCTTGGAAGAAGCTCGATCAACCGAGTGGTCAAACTTCCCGAATTTGGTCAACGAGACCCGCTGGGTCCACGAACTCCGATTTTCGATTTCGAAAGTTCCTATGGGTTCAACAAGATTTATTATGCATGTCCTAAAAGTTTGGTCTGAATCGAACGGTCAGATAACTCGCGATCACACGATCGGACGGTTACCATTTAACGCAAACTTTAAGTCATTGAATCGGAGCATTCAGGACTCCTATTCACGATCCGTGAATTCCTACACGATCCTCGAGATGCCTAGATCAAAATACATGAAATTGGAGTTGATCCAACGGTCCAAACATGTCGAACCCAGTTAACACCTAATATGCGATATCCGAACGACAGTCAAACGATAACCAAATTCAAATATGAGCATACCATCGTGTTCAGGACAACATGGGGATCATTTTAGGACTCAATGGCCAGCCACAAGGTGGCCCATGCGCCGGCAACGCGTGGGTGCCCAAAGCATTTCCGGCGATCGGAAAAATCTTCAAATTGCCGGTTAAGACCTATACCTACATGATCAGGACATTGAGTAGAGAAACTTTTGTTCTTGGACCATGGCCAAAAAGTGGTCGGAGATAGCCGGAATTACGAGCCGAAATCGGCCAAAACTTTAAGCGATAAATTGACATCCAAAACGCAAAAATTGATCATAAACAACCCAACCATCAGCTAGAACGCAAAAATAACCCTATCCCTGGGGCAAAATTATAATTTCAATTTTAAATAAATTAAATAATTAAATAGGCAATAAAATTAGGGTTAGGTTGTTACAATCAGAGTAAATACCTTAATTGTCAAAATTTTCACTTTTGGTAAAATACTGAGAAATACAACGCACCTCTCAGTTACAAAATAAGTTATGGACTTGGATATGCACTAACTCAAACTCAGTTCTTGCATGAAATGTCCTGTTAACATAGGTGGGCTAAAGCCCTCCTAAGAAATGGAAGAGGAAACTTCTTTCTTTTGGGGGTCAAATAGCTATTCTATTAAACTCCCACACTTATTCCCTCCTCTTCCCAAGTCTGACCATTGATAACTCTCACACAACTCAAGTTTCACCATCATTCTCTTCAAAGCTGAGAGCTCCAGCTCTCCTTCTTCACGTCAGTCTTATTGACTGCTTCGAAACCCATATCTCCTCAGCTCAAAATGAAATATTTCCTTCTTCAGACTTGTTTATCTGCTTGTCTACTAGAACATATCAATAATTGAGCCCCAATCGAAGAAGTTTCGTTACCTCAAACGCAGTTGGAATACAAGCTGTTCGTCACAGCTTGATTCTCTGCGTAAGGCTCGGTGGCCTTGCATGTCTATTTTCCACTGTTCTTTTGGTGAAGTAGTCTTCATCAAACTTGTTCCTCTGTTCCAGAGCTATGATATATCCAAAATTCAAGGACATTTGAGATGTCTATCTACCTCAAATCGTGTTCAAGGTGAGACTAGTCTTCACTTCCGTTCTGTTTGGTGGTTTCACTCTAGTGTGACCTTATTCACTCTTGAATGTGGCCTTCCTCGAATCTAATGGCTTCGTTTCCTTCATCAACGTTGTTCATATATGTCTTGGCTATAATTAGTCAAAAGTGGAGCTTAATCCAACAAGTGTAGTCATCTCAAAGCGTGTTGAAGTGTCGCCTGCTTATTCCTGTCTGCTGTATCGAGGTAGGCTCGAATGCTTTCTTGTATGTCAATTTCTATTGATCATTTGACAATAATTTCTTCATACGAGCTGTTCCTTCATTAGAGAACTATTACATATCCAAATTTCACATCAATTGGAGTTCTCTAACCACCTGAAACCTTGTTCAAGGTCAGTAAGTCCTCTGTTATGCTGTTTTAACTCTACAGCACCTTACTCACTCTTGCATGTCGATTTACCTTGATCAGATAACCAAGGTTGCTTCTTCAATGTTTCTCAGTTTTCTATTCTGTACAACATATCCAAAGATGGTGGCCCTACAACAAGTTTAGGCCACTCAGACGTAGTATAACTGAAACAAGCTCATCTCTTGTTATCAAGTGTTGTTTGGTGGTTTTACTCATTGAGGGCCTTCTTTGTGCATTGTAGAAAGATTCAAAGGATTGAGGTAAAGTTTAAGTTGGTTCAATTGTTGGAAAAATCTGTTCTAAAGTTGTATTCATGGAATTGAATGGATTCTTGAGTTTAAAGCTAAGTTAAGTGCAATTTGGAGAAACTAGTGAGGCTTATTATGTAATTGTGTTTTAATAGGTTGAAAATTTAGAAAATGTCCATTTTTCAAGGGAGACTCTGCCGAAATTTTGGCAGAAAGTCTCGTTCCTCTTTTCCTTAATTTGGAAAAGATGCTATAATGTTAGTAAGTGGGCCCATCATCAGTTTGATGTCGGAAATAACACAGGATCCGTCATGGATTCTGAGGAATTCGGGGCGGGTTCTATCATTTTCAGATCCTTTGAGCTTATTGCATGTAAACATGATGTATATGTTCTATGTAGGATGAGATGAAGAAGCTGAAGAAGTTGCCACAAACAGATAAGGAATCTGCTGAATTGATGTCTGATGATGAAATACATGACTCAATTCTTTCTAAAGTTGTTGGTCCACCTAGGTCGGGTTATATACGTGGCTTAGGAGTAGGTCCGAAACCCAAAACATTTAAAGCCGGACAATGCAGTCATGCAACAGTTGAGGAGGCTAAAAGGAGGGCAGATGAGGCAACTAAAAGGGCTGATGATGCAGAGAAACAATGTATGCTTCTTATGCACAAAAGTATCAGTTAGAAGGTTTATTGACAAGGAAACATGAGATAGATGCACTAGTAAAAAGATTGCTAGAGCAGTTATCCTCGACTTCATCATCAATGAGGTTAGCTTATAACTCTCATCTTACTACAATACAATTTTTGCAAATTGCACAATATACTAATTTCGTAATTTCCAGTTATCCTCGACTTCATCATCAATGAGTTCCTAATTTCCAGTTACTTCAGACAAGTGACAGATAAACTTTAAGCAACTAATTAATTAGAGATGCACTAGCTAGCTCCTGAGTTTAATTATTCTTGCATTTAGTTAATTCCCGGTTTAGTGCATCCCAAGTAAGAACTGACATTAATCTTTGTTTGATGAAGGTTTGATGGATAAAGGGCAGAAGACAATCTACTAGTGATGAATCTTATGTTATTTGTTTTTGGGAATCACTTAACATTTAGGTTGAACTTAAATATGTAGCATTTTGTTTTTGAGACGTGAATTTGTTGGAAGAATGTTAGATATATGGATTGCTTTTGAATGCAATGAATTATTTGATGCTAGAAATTTTATCTACAACACTGTTTAAAAGAAATTAATTGTGATTTCATATTGTAATTCAATAAATAAAGAACATGGAGAGATAAACCTATTAGTTACCAATTTTTTGAAATACATTAGTGACCAAGCAAGTAGGTCACTAATGTGGGCATGTGACCCAGTTTCAGTGACCAAAATGCATGTTTTGGTGACCAAATTGTAAGCCCTTTAGTGACTAAAGTTGTGGTCCCTAATAGTGTTTTTTATTAGTGACCAGACAGGGATAGCCACTAATTCTTTGTGTTGTAGTGACCAATAGTTGACATTAGCCACTAAATAGAATTTGTGACGAGCTTCTAGTGACCACCCAGTGACCATCAATATTTGGACATTGATTGCATTCAGTGACCAAAAAGGGTAGTTTCTGTGACCAAGTGTGTGGCCACTAATACCTGTTTTTCTTTTAGTGTATGCTTCATTCTCTACACAACTTTCAACGTGAATTTTCTGATTTCCAAATAATTAAAGAAAGTTGATGTGCATTGTTTTCTTAAAGGTAGATCATCAAGAGTAAGATTATCTTGGTGATTTATCATTTCATACATTTGCATTCATTTGCATAAGTTACAAGTGCCTCATACCTCCAGCAAGTTTGAATTGATCGTGTCCAGTATCTCATTCAACATAAGGAGAGAAAGAAGTAATCCCGCAAGAAGTTGAATTACGAAGTAGTCAGTAAACATTATCTAGAATGTGTCTAGGATAAGTGTGTGAGTGCTTCTTGTAATCTTCATTCTATAGTGGATTTGTTTTGGACTAAGGAGTCCTGTGGATTTTCCACAGAGGCGGGGTTTTACCACGTAAAATAATTCTTGCGTGTTCTTTATTTTTATGTTATGTACATTTAAGGATTGATACCACTTATCAATCCCCTGGGCGTGTTTTTATTCCTTTGTTACGCTTAAAATCTGTAAACCTACTATTCACCTCCCTTATAGTGTTTTAAGCTATCCCACAGGTAATTTCAAGCCATATGAGAATATATTCTTAGAGTTTGTTGGCCTGATTTCATACAAGTCATTGTAGTTTAAAATGTTCCCCAAATTTCATTTTGGGTTTATAGTTTGCTTGAGGGCCTTTGTCGGATGTCTCAACTATGCAAAATGCCCACAAAACTAACGAGATTCTAGACTTTGGCCTTGGTCTGATCTTCCTGCGATGGCCATTGAAGTAGAAAGTTTGAAGCACTTTTAAGAGGCAGAATGAGCATGAGTCATGAGATCCAAACCCTTGAAGCAAAAGTTTTTAACGCCCGACACTAGGAAAAAAAAACTAATATAAAGAAATGAAAGAAGTGAAGACTGGTCTTATATTTTAAAGTAAAGAATTTTAATTTGAGAGAGGGAAACATGAAAAAAGAGAAAATGTTTAATTCTTTTTTCTTCGTTATGTAACGAATATGCATTGTCATTTTTTCTTAATCATTAGATAATTTTGATAAATAAAAAATCATTAGATAATATTTAAATGAGGTGGTATGGTGAGAAGAGAAGTTAAGCAAATATCCTTATTTTACACTGGTGCATGTAATTAGTCTATAATATTTTTTTTGGGTCAAAATTAGGAAGGGGGAGGGGGAAAAATTAACACTAGGGTTCATGAGATTGTGAATGTACGTAAAATGAAGCTGCTGCAGCACTCTTGCAAACGAAGTTGATGGCTGGAATATTTTGCAGCGAAGCTAGAGCCGGTGCCCATGGCGCGAAAGAATCATGTACGAGTAATTCTGGGTTTAGGGTTTGGAGGATGTTAGAGAACTTTGGGCTAGCCATGTTGAAGGTTTATTTGAGGGTGGGCAGGAGATGGAGTGGGAGGTAATTAGTAGGGGCGGAGCTACGTTGGGACCAGTGTAGTCTTAGGCCCCCACTGAGTTTTTATTATAAAAAATAAAAAAAGGAGTATGCTGTTATTGGATAACCCATATTAATTAACATATTTATTTTACCATGTGGGGCCCTACCCAGCCAAACCTACGTTTCCTCCAAGACTATGCCTTCTTTTGCAAACCCATTCCCAAAAGTTTTAATAAAACTATTATTATTATTATATTACCTTTGTACACAAATTAGCTAAAAAGCAAAGAGATTTTAATCCATTTTTCTATTTTCTTGGCAAGAGCAAACTTTCTCATTGTTTGTGAGTTTTTCTCTCAAACTCAATATTATATTAACAAGTTTTAAAATTAGGTTAATTCATAGATGAATGATTGCTTGGTTGCATAAATTGAGAAAAAACATTTTTAATAGTATAGATGACGTGGTTGATTTCAAAATATGAAAACTTGTTAAGGACAACTATGAATTGTAATGAATTTTTTTTTTTGGGGTCAAAATTAGGATTGTAATGAATAGACAATATTATTTTTGATATTTTGGTATGTCTTGAGTTCGAATTTTTTATTATTTATATTTTGCGAGATGCCTCTACGCAGATAAAATCCTGACTTCGTCACTGACTATTAATGTGGCAATGAGATAGCAATTGAAATTGATACTTAGGTGACGAGGGGTAAATTTAACTAAACAAACAAGACACAATAACTCAACAATCAAGAGAGCACACAGAGCATGCCACAAAGTACCTGTAGCCCTAGAAGATTACTAGTGACAACCTAGGCACTCAGAAGGACCCATCAATCTAGGCATCCCCTGTGCTAGCAACAACTATGGTGAAAGTGTGTGTGAAGTCATCATTATCAAGTAAACAGCAAACAACAGATATAGATGACTAGTCAACCACCAAGAACACAAACCCAGAAAAATTTATAGATATGCAAAACAGATTTTGTTTACCCAGAAACCCACCATTGGGAAAAACTGGAAGTCATCAACCAACTAGGCAATCCACTAAGTAGAAAAAGATTCTTACAAAGGAATACAAGCAAGCTCAAGCAAAACCTAGATCTATTTAGGAAGATGAGCTTTACCTCCTTTGTGCAATCTTCTTCTCCAACTTAGCAAAGCTTGAAGCTTAGTTCTTCATGGCAATGGCAGCTCCTTCTCCAGCTTGATCGTCCCATGGCACTAGCTTGCAAGCTCAAACTCAGACCGAAACCAAACTTTGGATTCAAGGGAGAATGACCAAATTTCTTCAAGAAACCATACTCTTGAAGAAATCAGTGATGAATCCGATCTAGATCTAAATGAGAGAATGATTTAAATAGCTAGATGCATATTCATATTTCAAAAGCAGTTTTTCAAAAAGAAATCAATTAGAAAAAATCATAGATGAAATATATGGTTTACTCTTGAGGAAGAAGAAGAGAAAGATGGCAAGCCAATCTTTCCAAAACTTCCACACAAAAGAGACGGCTTCCAAATGAGGGATTCACTTGCTTTTACAGACAAAAGAATCCCTTAGGTCAGACTGACACATGGCAGCAGAGAGAGAAAAAAGAATAGGACAAAACAGATGGTTAACCAGTTGGAAATCCTACAGAGCAAGGATGACTAGTCATCATTTATGAAAACAGTTTTAATGCTTTTATAGACAATAGAATCCCTTAGGTCAGACTGACACATGGCAGCAGAGAGAGAAAAAAGAATAGGACAAAACAGATGGTTAACCAGTTGGAAATCCTACAGAGCAAGGATGACTAGTCATCATTTATGAAAACAGTTTTAATGCATGATATGCAATGCATGATTTACCTTTGTCAAATTGCTTGAACCTCCATAGGATAGATGAGAGTTAAGAACACTTAGAGATGCTAATCTTAATCTAACCTTGAGCTTGATAAATACATATAAAAGTCCTATTACAAAATTGTCAAGGGAAGCCAAAAGAATTAATCAAAATTCATACATTAACAATCTCCCCCTTTTTGGCTTTCCTTGACAACACACTCTCTCATGAACACTCAACCCAAAACCAAACCTAAGAAGATGATTAAATGAAGTACCTGCAAAAACAGTAACCAAACTTCCAGCACAAGACAAGCATATTATATCTCAGAATTTTAAAGTTTAAACAATATGCAATATGTGCAATAAGGGGGTTGAGAGTGTTCTCCCCCTTGATAAGGAAAGAGCAAAAAGGCAAGGAAATAAAACAGCAAGTAGAGGAAATAAACAGAGGGCAGAAAATCTGATTTAAACACAAAGCAAAGATTGATTACAAATCACATTACAACTGTTCAAAACAATACAACAACAACTCCCCCTAACAAGATGCACAGATT